ACCACCTGGTGTGCAAGTCCAGGGCAGCCTCTGTTTGTTGAAATGTCAATTGGTATGCTATCAATTCCTAGGGCCTTGTTTTTTGCCAATTCCTTATATTACAATAACTGTAATAAATTCTAGACACAAAGATTTAATGCAGTCTGAGTGGCAAAGAAAATTCCAGGTTTTCTCTATGAAGAAAAACCACGATTGAGCTTTGTCATGTCCACCGAACTTAATACTTTTCCTGAGTTAAAATGGAAGAGCCAACTCTATCCTGAGTTGATTTAAGCTACAGAACCTTCAATTACCTAGAATCTTTTAACAAAACAGAAATTAAAGCGATTGTTTTCCTTTCTGTTATCATCTTTCCCTTGTCTATTTTTTTTTTTTAAAACATAAGCCCAAGTGTGCAGGCTTGCACCAGTTCCATTTCTGGCTTGGTTATACTGATCCAAAGTTTCTACTATATTGCTGCTCAAGAATTTGTAAGTCAAGTTTGATAATTGGTATCATGAATAATGTTAGTTAAAACGGGCATCAATTTGAAGTGACAGTAAACTAGTGACAAGACTGTTTAAAATATAACGGAATATCAGCATTGTATATTGATGGCTGACAGGCACACACTACCTTAAGGAAATATGGTCACTGTCTTTGTAAGTGATTTAGCATGTACACTTGCCTAAGTCTGTACAAGTAGAAACTGAATAGGCAATACTAGTCTCACAATACTAGTCTCAAGTGGCCTTGTATGAATCTCTCCTTTTTCTCAAATTTCTGTCCTTTGAAAATAGTTTAAAGTGGGGAGTATGATGGCTTTATGTGCCAATCTGGTTAGGCTAACACATTCAGTTAACTAAACATGGACTGAAATGTTGGGTGATGCAGATAGTAACTTGGTGACTAGCTGAAAGGTTAGCGGTTTGAAGCCACCAAGAGATGCCTCAAAAAGACAGGCCCAGTGATCTGCCTGAGAAAGGTCACGGCCTTGAAAACCCTGTGGAGCGAGCTGGGAAATACCTACTCTACACACAAGCCTTCACCCTGAATTGGAAATAAATTCTGGCAGCCAAAACCAAGAATCTAAATGCTGGTGGAGGGAGCAAACAATTAAGCACTAACCTAGCAGTTCAAACTTACTCTGTGGCATCTTGGGAGACAGGCCTGGAGACCTGCTTTCAAAAGGTCCCAGTCTTGAAAATGTCGAGTAGTTAAATGACTCGAGTAAGTAACAACAGAATTGCCTGGACTTAAGAACATTAAACAGATGCACATCTAAACACTTCTTCACCAGGGTAAGAAGGGAAGCCACAGACTGGGAAAAGTATTTGGTAATGACATATCAGATAAGGGACTTATACCCAGAATTTATAAAATTCTTGAGCACCAGCACAAGATAAAGGTAAATAATCCAATAGAAAAATGGGCACAGGATATGAAGAGACACTTCACCAAAGACATTCAGACGGCTAACAAGCACACAATGTTCAAAATACCTAGCTCTAAGAGAGATGCAAATAAAAAAACGGTGAGATATCATCTCACCCCAGTCAGAATTGCAAAATTTAACAGAACAGCAAGCAACAAATGCTGGCGAGGTTTTGGAGAAACTGGAACACTTATTCACTGCTGGTGGGCGTGTAAAATGGTGCAACCACAGTGGAAGGCAGTATGGCGCTTTCTCAAAAAGCTGCAAATAAAGATACTGTTCCACTACTGGGAACATACCCCAAAGAGACCATAACTGACATCAGAGCAGATATATGCACACCCATGTTTATCACGACTTTGTTCACAATACCATGGAGTTGTAAACAACCTAAGTGTCCATCAACAAACAAATGGATAGAGAAGCTGTAGTATATTCACACAATGGAATACTATGCTGCATTGAAAAATAAGGAGCTCATGCAACATTATTCAAAATGAGTGACCCTGGAGGACACTATGCTGAGTGAAGTATCTCAGTCACAAAAGGATAAATACTGCATGGTGCCACTGTTGTAAAACACGACTGACCTTGGGGTTGGGAGGAGACTGAGAAGGATGGGTTCAATAATGTATACTGCATTGAAACAGATGAGGGAGAAAACTGTTTAAGAGAGATATGTTAAATATTTTTGTCATGACAGGAGTCCAGAGCGAAGGCTACACGGTGGAGTGGACCTGGGGGGAGGGATTGTAAAACAATGAAAGAATTTTTCTTTTACTTTTCCAAGAGGGTAGTATACTAACGGGGAGGGTTAGGACCGGAAAAAAATGCAACAATGAATGAACGGAAATAGAAAGTCTCTGTAAATTTTCACTGAAATTAACAATTAAAAAAAGATTAAAAAAAGATTTAATTATGAAAGGAATAGGCCCAAGTGTTGGGATAAGTACCTTTACTTTCTTTTTTTAAAAAAAGTGTATACTGTATATCCCATTGATTACCATAAGAATAAACAAGTATGTCTTGGAAGAACTGCAACCAAGGTGTTCTTTAGATGCAAATATAGTGAAACGTCATCTCACATACTTTGAGCATGTTGTTAGGAGTCAGTCCTTGGAAAAAAGAGAGGAAGACCCTCAACAAGATGAATTGATATGAAGAGTACAATGGGTAGAGCATGATAGAGATGATAATGTTGGTGCAACATAGTACAGTGTTTTGATGCGTTGTTCATAAGAACACCACATCCTTATCAGCAGATACTACATCCCAAATATTTTACCTCTGCTAATCTCCAGTTGACAGCGCATGTAGGTAGCTGTTGGGTTTTGAGAGAGACTCAGGAATGAGAGCACAGTTTACCAGGACTACAAGTCACAGAGGGCATTAGAAGACATTGACTGTGTCTTGTTTAATCACTGACTGATGTCATGTTTTTGGTTGGTTTGCATGTTACAACATAAAATATTCCTTGTAAAAAAAAAAGAACATTAAATGGTCAGAAAGACTCAAGGTGAGGCCTACCATTTTCCCCTCTATACTTCAAAACTGGTCTCAGCTGGGTTGATGTAATTACTATCAACAAGCTGTCTCTCTCATTGCTAACCCTCTATTGAGTTTCTGTGGTTGTAAACTGCAGAGGAGATTGCTCATCTTTCTTCAGAGAAAGTTCATGTAACAAACTCCTACAAATCACATATACATTCACAGATAGGTGGAGGAAATAGAATGGAATACATGAATTCCCTCTAGGAATGACTGTTGCCTCTGCACGAGACCAGAAGAGGATGGTGCCAGGCTACCATTAAAATTTTGACTAGAGTTTACAGAAGAATCTTGATCAAAAAGGGGAGCACACAGAACAGAATGGCTGCACCATGTGAAACATATAATCAATTTAATGGGATTGGACATGCAGAAATTTAATTGTTGTATGCTTGCTGTGCAGATTCATAACCTAACAAAATTATTTTTCAAAAATCAAGAATTATATATTTGGTGCTTAAAGTTACAAACATCTCTTTCACTAATCCTGAGTTGAGAATATTACTTAAGTGCATGTATCATAATTTATAATAAAAGAAGCACTGATGTTTTTAGGTGCCACTGTGTCAGCTCTGCCTCACAGTGACCCCATGCACAAGAGGAAACAGTACCTACTCCTGTGTCCTCCCAATCTCTGCAACATTAAACGCTTTTGTTCTAGTCACTGTGCTAACTCACCTCATTGAGGATCTTCCTTTTTCACTGTCCCTCTGCTTTTTCAACATGTCTTTTTCCAAGGACTGACCCTTCCTTGATAATATGCCTAAAGTGTGTGAGATGAAGTCTCAGCATCCTTGCTTCTTCTTTTTTTTAAATTTTTTTATTTTATTATTTTCTGTACTGTCAAATTGGATCTGGCTGGTAAAGGAGGAGAGGGCCCCTCCTTCTCCGGCAGAGCATCTGGTGGATTCGAACCGCTTATCTCTGGGATTGCAGTGTGCATCCTTGCTTCTAAGTTGCACTCTGGCAGTATGTCCAAGATAGTTATGTCTGTTTATGGTGTGTTTTCAATACTCTTCTCCCATGCCACAATTCAAAATCATCAATTCTTCTTCAGTCTTCCTTATTTACTGTACAACTGTCATAAGCTTATGAAGGAAATAAAAATATCATGGGCTTGAGTCAGACACATTTTAGTCTTTAATATCCTTGCTCTTTATCACTTTAAAGCAATCACATTATTTGAGATCCTGACTGTTGATTTTATAGGTGTTAACTGTGGAACCAAGTAAAATGAAATCATTGGCAATTTCATTCTTTTCTTCATCCATCATGTTGTTGCCTATTGGTCCAATTGTGAGGACTTTTGTTTGCTTGAAGTTGAGGTTTAATATAGCCATTGATCATTGATTTTTTTTCCCAAATGCCAAGTATTCACTTTCAGCAAATGAGGTTGTATAACCTGCATAATGCAAGTCTAAGACAAATCTAACATAATAAAATACAAATCTATGACAGTTGACATTAGGCTAGATGCCATGTCAGAACATTAACTCTTTGAATGAAACAGAACTTGGTCACATTTAAATGAGTGTTGTAGAAAGGGGAGAGTTCACGCATGAATACAAGCTGCCTTCTGACACATATAAAGGAAACATGGGATTTTCCCAAGTTAAAAGTCCCCCAGTGAATTTTTTTGTTTGTTTTAGATTCTGGGAGTTAAAAAACCTAGATAGTGGTATCAAAATGAATCACTGCAAAAAGTAAAAAGTGCTAAGAATAGTAAAATAAGATTGATGGTAACTTGATGTTATTTTTCATGTAACCATCCTTGGAATTATTCTCAAAGGTCAAAATGAGCGAGTGATGGTAGTCCATACAGCAAAGTCCTTGGTGATAACATCCCTTGCTGAACCTGAGACTGAATCTAATGGTTCATATACTCAGCTCAAAATTATACATGGGCACCATGACTTGTCTCCTTGTATTGCAGTACCTGTGGTTGCTTCATGCCATAATAATTAGGACCAAGGAGACATGTTTTTATTTAATAGACCATATAGAAGTCTATTTCAGGATTTCATACAAATATGACCTCTTTTAAAATATAAGAATAAATTAATCAAATTTGAGACTAATTTAGCTGTCAGAAATAGATGGGACAGTTAAAAGAATAGACTCTATTTGAAAAGTTTCACCAATAGAGACACAAAGAATGGAGGGTCAATATTTATCCTTCTTCATCACTGCTACTCCAGGCGTCTTCAAATGCTGGATTTAATTGTGACTTGGTTGTAGTCTAGAAAAAAGAAAAAGATTATATTTTCTAAATCATTCTGGGACCACAATAAAATTCAGATTTGAAATATACAAATAGCAATTTATTTTGGAAAAAAAACACCCAAAAAACAACCCAACAAATGTCTGTTAACGTAAAAACAAAAGAAACTAAGAAACATACCCATTACCCAGATAATTTGAACTTGCTTCAAAAGAAACATGTCAGGAACAAAAATATGCTGATGCCTTTTCTGCGGACATTTTGCACTTTTTTTAAGTCACCTGTAGAAGGTGGCATATTACCATCTAAGAATGAAGCCCGTGTCTTCCATCTGATTTCACAACCCAAAAGAATAAAATGTTAACTGTTTTTCATTGTTTGAATGGACTTCATTCTTACAAATAAGCAAATACTCAAATATAGAGAATATGGCGCTTATTAAATTAAGCAGCACTATTTTTGGTCCAAAGAAGAGTAGAGTAGTGTGTTGTTATTATAACAGGTGATGCTGAGTAAGTTCCAACTCACAGAGAGGTTACTGTATAATAAAATGAACCAATGTCTGGTCCACCATCGCTGCGGTGCTTGAGCCCATTGCTGCGGCCACTGTGCCCTCTCAGGTTAGTTATTATTAGCCAATTATAGTTATTAAGTAGTAAGGTTTGATTTAAAAAATATGATTGGTAAAGCAGTTCAGAAGCACATACAAAATTTGTCAGTAACATATTTATAATTGTTGTTGGGTATGACAGATTTGGAACTGAACTACAGATGACCCTCCAGAGGGTTTTTGGAGTTAATCTCACAGGAGAAGAGGGGTCATCTTTATCCTGCGGAGCAGTTAGTTGGTGGCCTTGAACCGGGTGCCTTCAGGATTGCAGCGCAGCTTCTTGCCACTAGGCCAACAGAGCTCCCTTAATTATAATTGTTGTTGTTGTTGTTGTTATGTGCCATCGAGTCGCTTGCGACTCATAGTGACCCTATGTACAAGAGCCTGAAATGCCGCTCTATCCTGTGCCAACCTCAAAATCCCCGACACACTCACTCCCACCACCCCAGTCACAGAATCGATTCATCTCATCAAGGGTCTTCCTCTCCTGCGCCGTCCCTCCACTCCCCCAAATATGATGTCCCTCTCCAAGGACCAGTCTCTCCTTGCAACATGCCCAAAGTATATCAGACGAAGCTTCAGAATCCTTGACTCCAAGGAGCATTCTATTATTTTTATTTATATTTTAGGATAAAAATTGTAATTAAAATTAGCCTCACTGGAAAAGACATATTTTAAGAACATACATTCAAATTGTGTCTATCTAACGAAACATAATAGTTTTGCAACTTTTCATTATCTGTTTGTGTGTGTGTGGTTTCAATTAACTTTAATTTTTAAATCACTAGATTCCATCCTTATTCTCTGTATTTTGTTAACTTGGGCTTTATAAGCTAGGTTTTGCCTCTTAATAAAATTATTCAATACTGTATTAGTACCAAGTACTCTCAACCTCTATTACATACCTGAGAATGTTCATTTCCTTTTTTTTTTTAACTTTTATTTTATTATTATTTTTGTGTGTACTGTCAAATCAGAGGTGACTGATACAGGAGAACATTGCCCCTCCTTCTTCAGCAGAGCATTTGGTGGATTTGAATCACATACTTCTGGATTGCAGTGCAGCTTCTTGCCACTAGGCCACCAGAGCTCCCTGTTCATTTCCTTTCTGATGAACACAAACTTAAACTCTTCTTACAATTCAAGAAAGAATCACAGAGGAAAAAGGAGATGTTCTCAGTTAAATCACTGAGTTTCAATAAGAGTACCTGGAAAACAGTACTTTGATTCATGCATTCTTTGGAATGTTAAATAGGCAAGTTTTGATCTGTTGTACATAGGACGGCTATGAGTTTGCAGCTGATGTGATAGTATCTAACAACAAAAATTATGCTTCTTTAGGAAAACGTAGCAACTATTTATATGATAGCTCAAGTGAGATAATTTTAAAATATGAATTCATTAGTTGCTGTTAAGGGCTGTCAAGTCAGCTATGACTCATAGCGGTCCCATGCACCCACTGTGGCACACACTGTACCAATCCAGCTCGTTGGATTGGAGGGTCTTCCTCTCTTTTGCTGACCTTTCCAAGCATGATGTTTCTTTCTAAAGAACAGCCCTTCTTAGCAACAAGCCCAAAGTATGTGAGATGAAGCCTTGCCATCCTTGTCTCCAAGGAGCACTCTCTAGCTACACTTTCTCTGAAACATCTGTTCTTTTGGCAGTTAATGGGATATTCAGCACTTTTCCCAATACAACTCAAAGGCATTCTTCTCCTATCATCCTTATTCACTGTTTGTCCAGCTCTCAGATGCATAGCAAGTGAGTGGAAAGACTGTGGCTTAAATCTGGCACACTTTAGTTTTAAAACACACATAATTGCTCTTCAGGACTTTGGAGAGGTCTCTAATAGCAGGGACCCAATGCTATACATGTCCAGTTCTCCTAACTGCTAGTACCAACAGTGTTAATTGTGGATTCAAGCAAGATGGAATTGTTGATAACTTCAATCTTTTCTCCATCTATTGCTGCAGTAGTGAGAATTTTTTGCTTTCTTGATATTGAACTGCAGTCCATACTCAAGGCTCCAGTCCTTGATCATCTGTAGCAAGTACCTCAAGACCTCCTCATGTTCAGCCAGCAAGGTTTTGTCACCTGCATAAAGGAGCTTGTTGATGTGTCTTCTTCCAATCCTCATGTCACACTATTTTTCATAAAGTCCATAAGAACACTTACTTATGCACAAGTTCAGTAGTATGTATACAGTATACAGTATGTACGTACACAGACATACTTGACATGGGCTCAAGAATGTCAGAAATGATAAGGATGGCACAAGATAGGACAGGGTTCAGATATATTGTTCCTGGGGTCACTAGAGTTGTATTCAAAGTCAACGGCATCTAACAACATCACCATCACAGAGAGATTTATTTTTTCTGGAATCTGTATTATGATCTTACTTAGTTTCTACCTACATTCATGATACATTAAAAGTAAAGTTCGTAGAAATAACTTTGGGATATGCCATTTTACAGTAATATAATAATGATCTTAAAGTAAGGAGTAATAATATATGTAAACAATATATGCAAACATATATTATTTACATATATAATAATATACGTAAAAAATAAGGTTTTATAAGTTGTAAACCATTAGGACAGCTGATTATCAATGTTTTCTTTCTCTCTTTCATTTGGATTAAGACCACATGAAAAGAATTCACTGGCTTTACACAGTAGTAAGCTGGACCAATTGCAAATTTAGGCAGGAATTTGTAGCTGCTAAATGCTAGCAGCACCTTTATAAAAATTCTTGATTTATTACATAGTCCTATTTTCATAAAAGAACTGAATATATGAAAGTATTTTTAGAATTCCAAACTTGCTTTATAAATTATGTGTCTTGATCTCCATTTAAGTATTTGTTTTTATTATAACTTGGTTAAGATTAACCTAAATGGTTTCTAGTTATATTATTTGTATTTCCAAATTTTAGTAATTCAAGAAAAGTATAACCTTAAGACAGTCCTTACGTTACTCTTGCTTGAAATAAAGTAAAATCACACCCTATTCATCTTCATTTATAAAAGTATGCACAATTCAGATTCATGGTATGCCTCTCCTTCAAGTTTCCAAGGCTGTCAATCTTAATGGGAACAGACTGCCTCATCTACCTCCCTTGGAAGAGTTTGTGGGTCCAAACCACTGCCATTCTGGTTTGCAAATAGTCAGCACCAGATAAAGTATTGATAAATCACTAGACTGTGTGACGGCAATTAAGCTAAACTTAATTAAGAAGTTAGGCATGAACTTTCTAATCTACTCTGGGACTGACTATTATACACTATTCTTATTAATTTTAAAGTTCTGTATCTCTCAAAGAGTAGAAGTGACTACGATTTCATTAATAAGTGCGCATATAAAATCTTTAATTTTTCATCTGAAAATTGAATATATTTATCAATTAGAATATCTATATTTATCTATAATTATCTATTAGAATTGAAAAAGTTTATTCAGAAAATATGTCTACATGAAAAAGGGAAACAACAAATATTGCTGAATTTTTATTGCTGATGATTGCCGTTGAGTTGTGCAGGACTCATAGGGACCCTGCGCACAAAAGACCTGAAGCCTTTCTATAACTATTGTCATTTCTCAAAGTTCATAGTTTCCAGAGGCGTGTTGTTTAGCAGTGGATGCCACGCCTGCTTCCTACCTAATTTAAACTTGTAAAAACTAGGATTTATCTTTTAAAATGAAATATCAATAAAGTGCAAGGTATTATGTAAATAAGAATCATAGGTATTTATAATTAACATATAATTATTATTTTCTGAAAGGACACTAATAGATTATATCTTGATATTATAATCTTTGAATGAAATAACAAAGAACCAGTAGATGAGAAACTTTTTTAGAAATATGTGGAAACCAAGATGAAAGGCTTATAGACTAGAACATAACATTAGAAGAACTTTTAGCAATTATGCAGTCAGAAAAGACAGAGGAACTGTTAGAAATTGAAGGAGAGGAAAGAGATGACAACTAAGTCTAATGCATGATTCTAAACGGGATTGTTGTGCTAAAAAAGGGCATTACTGAGCTAACTGGTGAAGTCTGAATGAGATTTAAGAATTATGTGGTAGCAGGACATCAATGTGCATTTTGTCATTTTCTTGGTAACACTGTCATCATATAAGAGGATGTCCTTTATCAAAGCAAATAAATGTATGTTCTTCTTAAACAGACAATAAAATCTAGCTTCAGAAAGCTAGAGAGACTTGCAAGGATCCCACAACAGGGTTACTGAGAGAGTCTGGATTCTTAAAATACCTTTTTACTTGCTCATCAAAGGTAAGACAGACAAAATGTTAACCTTTCCTAAATGTAAAGAAAAGCATGGCATAGGAAAGAAGTAACCCACATCATTTTATGCATTAACATTATTAACTCATTAACTTAAACTGAGTTAGGTTATAGATCCTGCGTCAGAAACTCTTGGTTATGCATAGATTAAACCATTTTAGCACTCTATCTACCAAGATTTTAAAAGTTTAAAATTCAATGAATTATTAATAACAAACAGAATTATGTTAGAGTCTACATAACTGAAATAAATTCTAAAACATTTATTGCTAGTTTAATAAGATACAGTAATAAGACATATTCTAAGATAGTCATCAGATTTATCTTAAGAGTATTATAATTGGCATAAATATGATGATGCTTAATAAAGAAAGCTTAAAATTGCTTATGCATGATAAGAGACAACTCCAACTCCACTCCAAGGAAATCTACCCAATGAAATAAATAAGACCAATTTATGAACAGATATTTACCCTCATTTTGTTTAAAATAATCAACATAAATATTTTCAAATAGGGAAATATGCAAGTATATTGTGGTATATTAGTGGCAGCATGTATTATTACTAAAAATGATACGGAAAAGTTTATTTCATAATGGAAAGTGAGAAAAGTAGGATACCAAGTTACATGTCTGTGTGGGATAATAAGAGTAAAAAAATGCATAGGGAAAAATTATGCAATAAAAATGTAAAAAAAGATAAGTTATTAACTGTAGTACTTTCATATCCTATATTTTTTCTACATTTTCAGATGTAGCTCAATTAAATTATTTTTACAATCAGAAAGCATTTTATATGACTCATATAAAATAAATTAGTAACATTTCACTCCTTATGAATTAGATGATGTAGGATTGGGCAAGGTTCTGATCTGTTGCTCACAGTGTTGCTATGAGCTGCAGCACCGAAGAACAGTAACATGTATGGTTTGTACAAAGAACATTTACCTCCTCATCATCTGGAACTGTCTCATGTAAGGCCGGTACCCATGCAAGTATATTGCAGTCTCTGCTACCGCTATAAAGCTCCTGTAACAGAAAAGATGTGACTTATGAAATAATGAAAGGCTGTAATAAAATCTCAAAATAAATTATGTTGTTGTTGTTATGTGCCATTGAGTCACTTGGGACTCATAGCGACCGTACAAGAGCCCTAAATCCTGCTCTATCCTGTGCCAACTTCACTATTTCTGACACACTTACTCCCACCACTCCAATCACTGAATCAATCCTTCAAAGGTCTTCCTCTCCTGTGCTGTCCCTCCACTTTCCCAAACATGATGTCCCTCTCCATAGACTGGTCGCTCCTTGCAACATGCCCAAAGTATGTCAGATGAAGCGTCAGGATCTTTGACCCCAACGAGCAGCCTGGCTTCACACTCTCCAGGATAAACCTGTTTGTTCTCCTAGCAGTCCATGGTATATTCAACACTCTTCTCCAGTACCTCAGCTCAAAGGCATTAATTCTCTTTCTATCATCCCCTAGAGCATGTAATTGCAAAGACTATAGCCCGGATCATGCACACCTTAGTCTCCAGTCTGACATTGTTGCTTTTCAGTACTCCGTAGAGATCCCTGACGGGTCACTTTCCCGATGCAATTAGTCTCTTTTTTTTCCTGGTTGCTGGTACCAAGAGTGTTGACTGTGGAGCCAATCATCTTTTAAATAGATAGGGTTTTTTTCCAAGTCTTTTTTCCACTTAATTTTTTTTTGCACTATTCACTTTAAATTTTATTCCACTATAACACTCAGTTTTGTCCAGTTTCAGATACTTAATGCTCATATGACTGGTTATGCATGAATTTTTTTACTTCTAACAACTAACATTTATTAAGCACTTACTAACTTCTAAGCTCTTAATATTGCTTCATTTACTTTATCCTGATAGTATTTCTCATTCTTTTTTCAAATTGTGAAACTCTTTTTTAAATCAATATTTTAATCATCATGTATATTGTGTTTCATGCATGAATGGTGTTCCTTTATATTTTGCTCATTTATATGATGGGGTGGGTTTTTTGTTCCCCTTCCTTACAATAATCTCACCAACAAATACTTTGGTGAAAGCATGCTAGCCAGCTACTTCATGTCTCATGTCCTACTATCACTCTTTTAGATGGTCAATTTCGGATTTGTATGAGAGTCAGAATCAACTCAGAGCTAGTTGTCCTTCATTGAGGACCTTTGTGTATGTTGAGTCAGAATAAATTCAGAGCAAGCTGCCCTTCACTGGGTGCCCAAGGTTACATCTGAGTAAGAGGAGACTGCCCATCTTTCTTCTGGGAAGAAAGTGGTGGATTTGAATTGCCAGAGGCATGGTCTTTGTGTTACAAGAGCAATTCCCTACGGACTAGGCCACCAGGGCTCCATAGATTACGACAATTTCTATACCCCAAAGAAACTAGGTTGAATGACTTTCCCCTTCTGTTTTCTATTATGCAGAAAAGCTTTATTATGTATTTAAAAATCGTATTAGAAATTATAAGATCTCGGAATATAAGAATGTTAGTAATTTTTAAGAAAAAATGTTAAAAAAAAGAATGTTAGTAATGGTGTAAAAATTTTACAAACCACTCAGTATCTAAATAGAGCTATATCAATATAGTGCAAAGACAGTTAAATGATAAAAAAAATGGTTTGTTATTCTGTCAATAGGTAAGCTTTTTTATTTTATTAATTTTTTGTGTGTGTACCATTGAATCTGACTGGTACAGGAGGAGATTGCCCCTCCTTCTCCAGCAGAGCATCTGGTGGATTCAAACTGCATACCTCTGGGATTGCAATGCATCTTCTTACCACTAGGCCATCAGAGCTCCCTGGGAAGCTTTAATAAAGACTTAAATATAGAAATCATAGGACTTTCTAGCTAATATAGGCCAAAAGTTCACAAAATTTTATTTAGTCTACTAAATAACTGTCTTACTGGCATGCTACTCAAGAGATAAATTTTTGCAGAAAAATTTACTTCTAAGGTGAAATTTTGGGCTGAAGTGAAATTATCATCTTGCTGTTTTTTATTGTGTGTTATTGATTTGGAACCAACTCCTAGCAGACACTCCAGCAAGTAATCAGAGACTGTAAATTGTGAGAGAAGAGACCACTCATCTTTCTCTCTTGAGAATGATGGACTTGAACCATTTACTTTTGGGTTGGTAGTGCAACTCCTTACCAATTGGACACCAGAGCTCCCTAGATTATTATCTCAGTGTATCACTGCTGGTATACTGCTTGCATACAGTTTGACAATGCCGAGTCACTTTCCATCTAAATTTAACTAACATGAAATATTGGGTATTATGATGCTTTGGGCAGAATATTAAATGGTCCACGAAGCCATTAAAAGAAGATGGAAGGAGTGTATAAGCAAGAGCCTCTGGTGATGAAGAAAGAAGTTCAAGCTGCTGTGAAAGAACTGGCAAAAAACAATGCCCCAGGAATTGATGGCATACTGACTGACATATTCTAACAAACAGACGCTGCCCTGGATGTGCTCACTAAGTTGTGCCAAAACATCTGGAGGACAACCACCTGGCCAACTGATTGGAAGAGATCTATATTTGTTCCAATTTCAAAGAAAGGTGACCTGACAGAGTGTGCAAATTAATGAACAATAGCATTAATATGATAAGCACACAAGATTCTGCTGAAAATTATCCAAAAATGACTGGAAGAGCACATCAACAGAGAATGCCAGAAGTGTAGCCTGGGTTTAGAAGAGGCCATGGTACGAGGGATATTATAGCTGTTAGATGGAAGGTGGATGAAAGCAGAGAAAACCAAAGGAATGTCTGTGATTCATTGACTATGAAAAGGCATCTGACTATGTGGGTCACAATAAATTGTGGCTGACTCTGAGAAGAATGGGAATCCCAGAACATTTGATTATGCTTATGTGAAATCTATACTTGGACCAGGAGGCAGTAGTCAGAACAGAGCAAGGAAACACTGCACGGTTCAAAACTGGGAAAGGTGTACGCCAGGATGTGTCCTATTTCCATAGCTTTTCAATCTATATGTAGAACAGATCAGCCAGGAGGCCGGGCTCTATGAGGAGGAATGTGGCGTCAGGATTGGAGGAAGACTCATCAACAATCTGTGTTATGCAGATAACACAACCCTGCTTGCTAAACCTGAGGAGGACCTGAAAAGCTTGCTGCAGAAGGTCAAGGACTACAGCCTTCAATAAGAATTGAAGCTCAACATCAAGAAAACAAAGATTCTCACCACCACTGGGCTGATGGGCAGCATTATGATAGATGGTGAAGAGATTTAGACTGTCAACAGCTTTAGTTTGCTTGCCTCCACAATCAACACTCTTGGTACCAGCAGCCAGGAAATCAAAAGATATATTACACTAGGAAAGTCTGTTGTCAGGAACCTCTCCAAAGTACTGAAGAGCAATGACACCAGTCTGGAGATTAAGGAGTGCCTGATACAGTCCATAGTCTTCACAATTACTTGCTATGCGTCAGAAAGCTGGACAATGACTAAGGATGACAGAAAGAGAACTGATGCTTTTGAGCTGTGGTGCTGGAGAATAATATTGAATAATACCATGAACTGCTGGGAGAACAAATAGGTTCATCCTGGAGAGGGTGAAAATAGACTGCTGCTTGGAGGCAAGGATTCTGAGGCTTAGTTTGACATACTTTGGGCATGCTGCAAAGAGGGATCAGTACCTGGAGAGGGATATCATGCTTGGAAGGGTGGAGGGAGAGCTCAAGAGAGGAAAATCCTTGAGATTCATTGATTCTGTGACTGGGGTAATGAGGGTAGGTGTGTCAGAGACAGTAAGATTAGAACATTATAGAGTGGGTTTTAGGGCTATTGTCCTTAAGGTCCCTCTGATTTGCGAGAGACTTGATGGCATATAACAACAACAATAACAATAAAGTAGATAAATAAATATTCATATACTCAGAAAGTATAAACTGGCATACTCTTTTTCAGGATAAGTATCTTAACAGATTTAAAATATTTTTGTATGCATTTCTTCAAAGTTACTTATATCAAAGATTCATATAAAATTCAAGAATACCACCAGTATATTATTTAGAATAAGAATAAATACTCCAATGAAGAGCATGATTATGATGAAATATATGCTTCATTTGTATGATGGATATGAATTTTGAAGAACATTTTAATGACAATCTTCATAATGCCAAGGGGAAATGGCAGGAGATAAAATAGGTTAATTAAAAACGAACACAACACAAAATGAAACTAATAAACAAAGGAGACGGTGCTAGAAAGAAAGGGAAAAAAACAAAGGCCAAGTTGCTGCATAAAGTTGAGTGTTCTTTTCATAATCAAGTGTTTCTATTATTTTTTTTTTAATTATTTGCGTGTGTGTGTGTGTGTGTGTGTGTG